ACAGATTTAAATTATAAAATTCTGTATTATGAATGTTGCGTAAATATCTAAAGAATTCCTCATTTCTCATTTTCTCATTAGGAATTGTAAATATACGACTTATGTAATTGACATGTACGACTAAATTTATGTGACATGCGCTTGTTTATGCATTCTAATTTAGAAACATTATAAAGCAGTTTTGCAACGCTCTTCATTAATTATTTTTATAGCATTTATTCCTAATTCAGAATTTTTTTATTTTAATTTTTGTAGACTCGAAATCATCAGAATAAAGAATGGGCTTTGATAAATAGAATATTTTTTTTTCATCATATTTTAAATTAAATAAATAATAGTAATAATTTCTTAATTGTATAATAAAAACAGCGACACTTCTCGAGCAGGAAATGATTCAATATAATTTAAAATTAAACATGTTTATAAAATTCTTATTTGTTATTTCAAAAATCTTCATTTTTTTTCACAAAATAATTATAACACATTGGTAAATATTTTAGATTTTAGATTTTAGATGATTGAATACGAGCATTTTTTCACAGTTGCATTTTTCAATGAGATTTCGCATTGTTTGCATTAATTCGGTTTCCCCATGATACATTTTTTACGAGATGAGAAGATCTTTTTGTTGTATTATGTATAATTTATATTACTTATGTATATATTACCTATGTATATATTACCATGTATAACTACTTGAATTAATATTTAAGATGCATTTAAATATTAAATAGTTGCGATATATGATTTATAATTATTAATATATTTTTAATTTTAATTTTTTTAATTTTAATTTTTTTAATTTTAATTTTAATTTCACTAGTGAACTTTATCTTTGTAACAACACATGGTTTTATATATGACTTCATTTTCTTTTCATTCCTCACACTTCTTTCCGATAGGATAAGTCAATGGTGGGGGGAGTCAGATATCTCCAACCTCGTCTGAAGTTCAGCTGGTTTGTCAAAGAACACAGTCTGCTAGTAAAACCGGCTACGTGAAGATTAATGAACGATCGATCTATCATTAACAATTTAACTGGCGAGTGTTTAGTTTGTGCGAGTTTCCTCGCGTCGAGAACTGCGAGTTCTTTGCGTTGAAATATTATATACGTGCACGAAAATTGTAAATTTAGCTATAGTGTCGTTTCGTCGTCGTTGCATTCCTTGCCAGCATTGTGAAAGGTCTTACAGCGTCAATGAGATTGCGTTGTAACTCTATAAATAGAAGCTATAATTTATGATTTACCAAAGCGAAGAATAAAGCGTGTAACGTAAGTTTAATTCAAATCTATCTAAAATATTGCCAATAAAAATATGAATAAAAGTTATGTATTTTATATCAGGATATTAATATAAAAACATTGGTAAATATTTACTAATGAATTTTCTGTGAAAATAATATGTTGTAAAAGAGATCAAAGAAATTTATTTTCGAGAAAATTATATATATAACTTATATATAATTCCGATTATTATAATTGTAGGTGAAAATATCAGTAAATATTATATTTAAATCAAATACGGTGTATGGTAATACATTTCATGCCAAATATACACACACACACACACACACACACACACACACACACACACACACACACACACACACACACACATATATATATATATATATGTAGAATAACATCATGTAGAATAACATCACTTTATATTTATTCAAATAATAGAATGAATGATAATATAATGGATAGTAAAATAGAATAGAATATAATGTATGAATAATGGATGGTATTTTAGTCAGTGCGTAAAACTTTAAATCTTTTCTTTTTAAATGTATATGTAATTCAACAACTGCAAAGGCCGACCATCGTAGTGTCATTTTGTGACGAACTTGAAGATGTTATGTATTTATACTGACCACACAAAAAATTTGGTAATAACATAACATTTATTTTAATATAATGTAAATAATCAGGGAATTATGTAAACAAGTTCTCTGAATTATGTAAAAATAAATATATATTAATAATATAATCAATAACAAATGCATTTGAAAATGAATACTTATATAATACTTATATAATACTTATATAAATATAGACAATTTCGATCCTTAAACTTACGCTCTGAAATTGCGCAATATATTTTTAAAAATTTTTAGTTGTAAATTGTATCAACCAATCCGCATCGCATATTGTACTTGTGTATACATAATACTTGTGTATACGTTATAATATGCAGAATGTAACGTAACGCATGATAATTTGCATTGAAATGCCATATTAAATAATATTCTGTTGATGTATAATTGTTTTTATCGGGATATAAAAACAGCAGTAAGCCTCAACAAGTAATAAATAATTTTGATATAATTATCATAATCATGAAATTTTTATGAGTTATATTATATGAATATTTCAAAATAATATCGATAACTTGTAAGAATTAATAGAGAATAATAAACTAATATTTTAGAAATAATTGCTTATGCACGAAAATTTTATTGCATATTTGGTGTGAATTTATATGATTTAAAAATATAGTTAATAATTTTATTGCAATTTTATGAAAAAATATAAATATTCTCGAACATGAGTTACAGAAAAAAAACACTGCTAAGTTTATCATTTTTCATTAACTTTATAATGTCGGATTTATATTATCAGATGTTTTGCAATTTATCCCGTATATATATATATATATATATATATATATATATATA